TTATTAAATTAAATTTTTAAAAATGTATAATGTGAAATAGAATAAGTAATGAACAATAAATACATTGTAATAAAATTACATGAAATAACAAAATTTAAGACATCTGATGAAGATATGAAACTCGTAACGTATTGCGAGTAGTTTTTATAATACCTATAAGGCCGCAATTATTAATTAGTAAAATAAGCTCTTCTAATTCCAAGAAAATCTAGCGAGTTTTTAAAAAATATGCAACATTTAGATACAAAATAATATAAAGATGCCGCTAACAAAATTACATTTTTTTCCGGAAAAAAATAAGAAAAATCTTACTCTCACGATTCTTATTCTTCATATTATGCAATAAAATTGAGGAAAACTTCTGTAGAATCAGAATTTATATGAATATGGATTATTTGTAAGCACATATAGTATTAAAATATTTCACACAATCTATTTATTGCGAATTTTATTTTACTGATTGCATCATGCACAATATCATTTTCGTGTTAATCTACCTATGCAACATTTTAATTGGTATATTTCCATTAAAATGTAACTAGTGTCTGAAGTAATTAAAAAAATAAGGCAAAAGAAAAAGTGTTATTATATCGAGTTTAAAAACTTTTAAAATGGTGCTTTTTAAAGCATTATTAAATTAATTTTAATAAAGTACTTATAATTTTTTTAATACAATTTGTGCAAAGTATTAGTTAATAAAAATATAAATAAACTTGATTGGAAATCTGTTGTATTAATAAAATAATAGTAATAACAATAAAAAATAATAACCAGATTGATGCGTATATATTTCTAGGTCTTTTTCTAAGCAACACCACTTAATTAAGTAGTCTTTCAGCTTTATTTTTCCTTATAATTGGTAAAAACTAAATTTGCGGAACAATTTTTTTTCATGATGCAAAGTACAAATAGAATGAAAATAAAATTAACGAAAAATGGGAAAGTTAAATATGAAATTCAAAACTGTTTTTGCTATTTTAAAATTGCTATATTAAATTAAAAATTTTTTTTAATGAAATAAAGCACAATTGTACATAAAATAATACTAAAATTAACAGGAAGATTAGTCATAATAAATTAAAAGCTAATTAACTTTAAAACTCAAATGTAATTATCTATTGAAATGAATGATTAAGAAGATTCAGAGTACGATTCAATTGACAAAAATCGGTCAAAAAATAAAATCTAATTTTTTTTAGTCTAAATTATCCTTTATATACTATTCTATAATCTCACAACATTTGAAAACTATAAATTTAAAAAAACGCAGAGTTATGATAACTTTTACGTTTGTTTTTATTTACATCTCAATTATAAATAAAAACTTTAAAATGACTTATCTCTGAAAGATAAAATAACTAGTTTGTTTTCATTTAAAATGCTAAGGCATTTTTTTCTATTCTGACAAATGCTTTGAGAATTTTTTTTTTTTTTTTTTGCTTTTAGTACATGTAACAAAAGTTGATATGCATATTTGAATCAAAGCAATGCTTATTTTTTAAAAAAATATTTGAATTTAGAATTTATACATTTTTTAAGGTATTTTTAATAAGCATTTATAAAGACAAGTATTTTACGAATATCAATAATGTTATCATAAAACCTATACCAAATTTTGTTATACATGGTTTGACGTACTTTTAAATCAAATTTCACACGTGTGTATCAATTTTTGTAGGAGTTGCATTTTAAAATCATAAATATTAAATTTTTTCCTTAAAAAATTAAATGATTAGCTTTATATGGTATTTTGAGCACAAAATCTGTTTCCCATAATACATACACCTCCTAAAAGACAAAAAAAAAAAAAAAAAAAAAAAAAAAAAAAAAAAAAATTCAAAATCACTAAATTAAAATATTTTGTGTAAATCGTACCATGTCCTCTTAAATTAGATAAATAAATGAATCAGAGATGTTTAGATTGATTAAGTAAAAAGTTTACTTTGCATTAAAAATGATAGTATCATAACAATAATATTAATTTCTTTAAATTTGAATATAATTGCATAAGATAAAAACCAAAAAAATGTAATCAATATTCTTTAATGATTCTGAAAATCAGTTGTAACACTCATAAAAAGTACGGCATTGAAAGCATTTTTATTTTTTCAGAGTAAGAAAACAGATATTAATATTAAAGTTAAATAAAAACAATTTTTCTGTCACATTTTGCACAATATAGTAAATTGTTAATTCTTCAAAAAGGATTTATTAAACGTTTATTTAAGAGGAGGGCGGAGTTAAATAATTTTTATATTAACAGCTATTTATTAAATAAATTGCAATAATTTTGGGGATATAAGCACATGTACATTTAAAATTACTAACATGTTCATTTGTATTATTTTATTCTTATTTATTGTTTAGAAAATGAAAGCGTGCGTTGTACAGTATTCAATTTATATAATTTCTTAGCTTGAATTGATTCTTCCTTATTAATTAACACATTGTGATTTTCCTTATGACTTGATTGTCGAAAACTCCATATTGTTACAAATTTGTTAAGCACATATAGTTATGCTCTGCAGTTATAAAAAATATTATTACTTTAAATTTAAAGAAAAATTTGTTGTACTTATTTTATTTTCTTTTATAAACTAATTTATATGTTTTTTTTGTCAGTAATTGAAAAGAGTGAAAAATATACCTTACTACACAAAAATATCAGAAAGTCTAAAAATGTTTTTAAAGCGGGAAGAAAAGACGTGGGAAAAAAAAACGTTATACAAACAAGAAACATAAAAAATAATAAATATTTTCAGAAAATTAAAATATAGTATAAGGATATCCAAACTTTTATTGATTTTGTCTTTAAATTATTATTGTTGTAATCATGATTAACAACAATGTCTTACACTTGTGTGAAGATGTCAAATATTGAACTTAATAATGCTTTAGAGTTGATTTCAAATCTAAATGCTACATTAATCTTTCAGACATAACATTTGGGTAGTTTTTACGAAATTTATATATAATTTTATTTTGTTACTATGTATATAAAGTATTACCACATTTAAATATATTTCTTTCGGAATGCTATTACTTTTATTTAATGCTTTAAATTATATATTATTTTATATGTCTTTAATAAAATTATCGACTTTAATATGTATATTTCTAAAATGTATTTGTATTGAATATATATTCTGGATAAAATAATTTACGTGCGCATCGTTATGAGAATAAACATAATCTAATTTTTATAAATGAAAAATTCAAAATTTTAAAGAAACAGAACGAATTACATATATAACTTTAATCTCAATTACTCTTAATATTTCATATCTAAAATGCAAAATTTTAGAAGCGAGATAACATGTATTAATTCAAATTTCTTATGCTTTTTTTCTACAATGCATTGATGTAATATAACGTTATTTTAAATCTCAGCTTTTGATAAATTTGTTTTAAATTCATGACATTTTCACTTATTTCTTTATAATTTAAACTAAACTCAGTGGCATAACAGTCCAAGAGGGCCAAGGCCTACTGTGCCCATCTCAGTATACGTGACCATTGGTCGCTGAGGTACATGAGCAGAAATCAAGATCAGGAAAAAACAACTGCCGGAGATAGAACCCGGGTTTAGTCGTTAGGGATCTGCTACCCTGACCACTAGTCCACATTCGGCCCTTTATAATTTATCCTCAGCTTAAAAGTATCTGCAAGTTCACTATTATCACATTCAAATTTAGTTTTATGGGGTAAATATACCTCACATGTTTAACGCTCGAAAGGAAATTAAAAGAATAATAATCCATTTTCTTATCTAAGTATTATGATGCAAGGATGATAAAAAAAAGAATAGATTTTGAATAGTGCATTTTGTTTCACATGTTAATGATAAATTTCTTAGCATTACGTATTGCTTTGTAACGCGATATTACTTGCATTACAACAAATATAAGAGGACTTAGATTTATACATAATTCAGCTTTTTTTTTGTTAAAAGTATTGCGCTTCGAAACCGATGATGTTAAACTTCATAAAAAATGCACTATAGAACAGTTAAAAAAATAACACAACACTTCTTATGAGTTCATTAAGCACAGAAATCTAATTGTTAAGGGACAAAATAATGTAATTATTCAGTGGATTACATTAAAATACTAAGACATTTCACATTATCATATTCGTCCATTGAAAAAGAAATAAATGCATTGATTTTAAAATGGATTAAAATACATAACACAAGTATGCGAATAAAATTAAATGGAAAGTAATTTTCATTTTATCATAAAAGAATATAAAATAAGTAAATAGTTTAAAAGAGAAAATCTAATCAAATTGACAGGAAAAATAAGCTGTTTAAGATGTAATAAAGGTCCACAAAACTCATTCCCTGTCCAAAACAATAACACAAGGAATTGTGTAGGATTCTAGAAATTCGAACTGCATACTAAAAATAAAAATATAATGACCATGTTTTTCAATAAAAGTTGTTTGTGAAACAATGGCGTTTCTAATCAGTATTATTTACCTTACAATAAAAGGTAGTTATTTCTACAATACCTTTCTATCTTGCAAATGGATTTCAAATATTGAGTATAAAAAAAAACACATTGTTTGTAATATACTTTGTAAACAGAGCTGATTCTGTGTTTCTTACTATTAATAAAAAGCTCTATTTGCGTTTAAGCAAAAGGCAAACGACAATACAACAGGCAAAGGTTTCAGAAGCTGCTTTTAGAAATATTTTAATGTAATTAAAAAAAGTAATATAAAAAGAATTTTTTAAGTCAATTCTTACTTAGGTCAATAAAGAAAAATTTTATTTTAGTTAATTTTTATTAAATAGTTACAATTAATATAAATATGTGTGTATACATATGACAGAATCACACTATTAAGTGGCAAAACAGAAAGCGATTTTCCATTTTCCTTTTTATATAGGGTGTTGGACTCTTTTACTTTTGTTTTATCATTTATTCATTAATTAAATTTAATTATTCTAATAAAATAGCATAGTAAAAAAGAAATCACATTCTCAGAAATTAGGCCGTCTCGGGTGGGAGTCCGGGTTGAACCCACAACCTTTGAATTAGAAGTCCAACGCGCTACCCATTGCGCTACAGGGACACAACGAGCAATTTTCCTTTCTATATATGGTTTTTGGATTATTATTTTTGTTGGTCACTATAATTATTCAATTTTTAATTTAATTAATGAATTAATATTTGAAAAAACTGTATTAACATCAAGTGTCATCCACTACAAGTTTTAAAAAATGTATTTGAATTTGAATGGATGAATAGAAGGTATTTTATTAATGATTGAAAATTTGAGCAAGATATGTATATATATTTATAAATAAATTATATATATATATATATATATGGAGAGAGCGAACTAATAGTAGGAATTGAAAAACAACAACCGTAGGCTGTGAAAATTTGAAAATTATAGGATATAAATTTACATTTGAATTCTCTATTTATCGTTATTTAACAAATATCACAATTCATTAAAAAATTGGAGATGAGAGAGGATTTAATGATCAGAAGGACTTAGATGGACATAGAAATTTCAGATTAGTACGTAGTATAGCACCAAAATCATTATTTAAATGCTTTAAATAACATTGTCATAAAATAAGTGTGTTATTTAAAAAATAAATTAATAATAAAAAAGATTCTTGTAACTATAAGAGATTTTTACTGTCGCAATACTCAAGTTTAAAGAATTTCGATTTTAAAACGCTATTTTAATTTTCATATTTTATCACATCTTAAAATCATATACAGTTTTGCTATAAATAAATGTATAGTTGTCCATTTTTATGGAGGTTTTCAGGATGCATATATTTCTTTAACAATGCATAAATATATGACTTAAATAACCACTGATATAACTTTTTCAATAGAATATACATTTCATAAAAATATTTTATTTGTGAATATTAAAACCTTCTTTACACTAAAAAAAAAATGAAGAAATATAAAATATATTGTCCAAATTTTCTTGGGTATCGTATTGGTTTTCTTTTACTTCACGCATTTCATCTTTTACTTTATTTTTAAATTAAGGACCTTAGTACATTTTCACTATATTTTATAGTTATAAAAATATTTATTTTGCCCTCATTTATGCATTTTTTTAAAAAGTTTCGGTTTTAAATACGGTAAATTTAGCTAGTATACAGACATAAAAATAATTTGCGTACATCATGCATTTTAAACAAATAGTTTTGTTCTGAAAATCATAATTCAATTATTTTATTTTTTGGAATGTTCATTGTGTGGTAGCATTATTCTTTATGTGTTAAGGTATCCGACTACGTTCGGAACCGTGACTTTAAAAAGGCGCATAAATGGATAGTTTTCATGATATTTAGTGTCACTTAGATCAGAATACACATATAAAATTATTTTAAGGACATTTTGAAAAAAAAATTTATTTAAATACAATATTTCGGCAAAAAATTAACTTAGAATAACCTTTTTTCAAAATGTTCTCCTTTTGTGATAAATGCTTCTATTATAATATTTTGCCTGTATATAGCGCAAACCTCTGTACAGAGGTTCAATTATGTGATTTTCGAAAAATTCACATTATTTTCAGAGTTACAACCATTTGAAATAATTATCGGTGTTTTTTTTCTTAAAATTTCTCCCCTCTGTTTTCGTAAAACATGGATAAAACCACTTCTAAGTTATATATTTCAAAAATTCTAGTTGAGCCTCTGTATAGAGGTCTGAGCTATAGACAGGCAAAATATTATTATAATAGAAGCATTTTTGACAAAAGGGGAATATTTTGAAAATGGGTCATCATATGTTCATTTTTTGTCAAAATATTGTACTTAAATAATTTTTTATTGTAATACTATTCTTAAAACAATTTTATATACGTTTTCTAATCTAAGTAATACTAAATATCATAAATATTATCCATTTATATGCTTTTGCAAAATCACGGTTCCGAACGTAGTCGGATACCTTAAAGGCTTGGAAATGATGTTACAGAAGAGTATTTTGAAGATACTTTGTAAATTTTACTTGATGATAAAGGTATAAAATTAAAAAAAAAAATAGCAATATTTTAAAATGACTAAAATACATTCCATAAATAAATGTAGCATACAAATGAATTCGTTACACATCAAAATTACATATTGTCGCTGAGAACAGCATTTTGAAGGATCTTTGCAAAATTCCAACTTTGCGCATGTTCTTTCTCTACACTACACACACACAAGCGTCCATAATTTCCTAAAGTAGGAAGTCGGAAATGAAAACACCTAATATGCACTAAACTCAAACGATGCAAAAACATCTCCCTAAAATGTCCCATTCCCCGACTAAAAATAGACTCACCCCTTCCGACTTGCGCCACTCCACTCCACAAGCTCACCCCCTCCGAAACATAGAGAAGTAACGAGTTTAAAAAAAGTAATTCCGGGGGGCAGTGAACTTTCATCATCGAGGAAATGTCCAGGATGTCGGAGGGAAAGGATTGCTCCCATCCCTCAAAGATGTAGGAAGATGAAAACTTTTTTTCTTTTTGCCTTCTCCCCATCTTCCCACTTCATCTTCGTTCCCCTATATATTACGTGATGTCAGTGACCTCTACAAATGTCCCGCGATGTGTCCGGGAATCATTTTAGTATAACACGTTGATTCGTATGAACTCCACGTGTTGGTTTCCTTTTTAATTCACTCCGCAATAGGTCTACAGACTTGAATTTTCAGGCTATAAGCGATTGGATATCCAATAGGAATAAGGCGTTCGACAAAGGTAAGTTTTATTTCTCTATTTTTTTAAAACTAAGTGTCTTGCTTCACCTGAAAGTCCTTGATCAACCAAACAGGGATTTTGTAGGAAGTTTTGATATATATGCTGCAACAAATGATATTTACATGTTAACGTGTTTGTACGTTAACATGCTTTTAACATGTTAGTTTATGATTTTAAAAATTCCATGCAAGTTATAGCATGAAGGAATTCATTTGTCATGTAGACAAGCGAATAAGGACACCTTGTTATCGAGGTTCAAGGTTATTCAAGGTTTGATTCAATTGTATCGAATCGGATTTATTTTTACTCCAAAAAAGATACAGTATAACATTATCCATAATAAAGCATCCCAAATTGCTACATTAATTGACCACAAAGACATCACAAATTAAATTTTTAAAAAAAAGTTTTGATTTCCACATGTAATTTGAATTGCAGTATTTCAGTCTTGTAATTTTTAATCCAACCTCTTCTTTCTCAAATATCAGTTAGTTTCACAAATTGTAATTTTAGAATGCAAAAGAAATACTGATATGGCCATTTGTTGTTAAGAATAATTCACGACTTACTTTCGAATATTATAAGATGATAGTATTAACATTATCATTCCAGAATTATATAGCTGATGATAGATAATGTACTCGTAAACATCTTCAAAGTAATGTTTAACTGTTTAAAGTGCTTAGTAAATTATATTCAGAGGTGCGGAGAGTGAGTCAAGATACCATTTTTTGAGAGTTTTTCGGATTTAAAATTAAATTTGGATTAAATTGAAGGAAGGGAATAACTGAAAAATGTGTTAAATATTATTGTAAAAAAAGTATCTGTGTATAGTTTTGTGCATCATTGCTCCTATATTTAAAAAAAATCAAACCAAGAGTATTACATATGTATGTATAAAATTTTGCTCTTCAAAAATCTTTTAGCTGAAAATTTATTGAATGAAACATGTAAATGTCAATCTATTGCACGTTAGAGAACTTCTAAATTATATTAATCCATATGTCCATTTAACGGACACCGACGGTCAAAATATTTTTAATATATTCATTAAGTAAATAATCTATAAAGTTAATGAAAAGCTAAAAAAGCATAAAAAGTTACTAATAAATATTTTTACGAACATATACCAATTTAAAATGACCGCGTTGTTGAAGAATCTTTAAAAGAAATGTTTATTTTACCTTAAAAAACTATGTAGAAGGATTAACAAATAGTTTAAGTCCTTTTTTTCCCTGTGTCTATGGTATTTAATCATGAAAAATATGCAATAAATATTTATACTAAAAATTTATTATTATTATTAATATTATCAGTCATAAAAATATTTAACTGTAAATTTATAAGTTACCAAAACATGGTATTTAACAATAATTTCTACAGGCAAGAATAAATTTTAACACCCCAATGACCCTTTTCGCACATTTTACAACCATTTTCATCCACTATTGGTAGTTTTTCAACTCAAATAACATGCAAATACCCTTAATATAATAAGATACTCTTTATCCAATACTACCTTTCCGGCAGAATCCTATTTTAGGTCATATCTGTGGCAAAGAAAAACAAATTGTGACAAGCTGCGCTAGCAGCTTATTTTTCTGTATTAAACTTCTTATCTAATATAAGGATAATAATTCGCCAAGTTGGCGATAAATAAAGGTGTGGGCTAAAATAGAATCCAATACACCTTCCCGCTCAAATAGAAATCCAGCAAATTAAGGTATCCGACTACTTGTGGTAACTTTTTTTTGAAAAAATAGAGATGTGGGGATTTTTTTGTAATTTTTATATTTATTTAGTATATTTTTAGGAAAAAATCCTAAAATTGAAAAAAGAGAAAAAATTATAATATTATTATTAAAATGGGAAAAATCTAGTAAAAATGAACAAAAAATTACATAAACGGCGCCCACTCTGTACAAAGATTTCATGAACAAATTCTCAATTTTTCAATTTTGATGAGCTACTTTGTTATTCATGTTTGAAGTAACCTTCGGGATAAGACATATTTTAATTTTTACAAAAACTAGAGCACTTTATCACAGTTATTATATGAAATAGCTTTAAAAAACAGTGATTATATTCACATAAAGAACTGTAAATTTTGAAATAAAACAATAATTGATAAATCTGAAGGTCAAAACACTTCTACTGTTACGCAGAACATAAGCAAAAAATTTCAGCCAATTACTTTGAAAACTTTTTGGGCAATCACAGTCCCCGTTTGAGTTTTTCGGGAAAAAAAACCACATTTCGAGTAAAACGCGTTTTAAAGTTTGATATCTTGTGTAAAGTGATGGCATCTGCTTTTACTATAAAGCTTGTAGTTTTTGTTCTAG